TATTATTATTATTATTATTATTATTATTATTATTATTATTATTATTATTATTATTATTATTATTACTATTATAGCTCAGTATGTGTAGCCTAATTCAGTGTGCAGGATGAACTGAGGTAGGAGATGCGACGAAAGACCATGAGTGACTTTTAGAGATGCCAAACCTATCAACAGCATGACCATTAAGCTTTAGCCTAAATGTGCAAGGCATCTCTTTGGAGACAAGCTGCACGTGACTCATAGAGGAATAAGCCCCTACCCCACCCCACCCTTCTCCCTCTGGAGAGCTGGTCATGGTCCCTCAGCACTAGTGTTACTAGCCTACCCCATGAGAGGCTGCATTCCAAAGGGGATGGGCAGGCAGTTATGTCTCTTCAGTTCCTCAAAAAGCTGCCCGGCACTCCATTGGCAGATCTGAGGAATTCCAGAGAAAGACAGGCCCCTCTGACAAACAATGCCCTTCTGTGCTCCCACAAAGGGAGCCTTTGACAAGATCTCATATGATGTGATGTTAGAGTGCCATTTCTGGGCCTCTTCCCAAGCTGCCAAGTCTTCCAGCCCTGGAGCCCGGATTCCAGTCTTCCATCGCTTTGTGTCCTTCAAAATGTACACACGGGAACTAGCCGGAGTTGGGAAAAAACACAGCCCTGGGACAGAAAAGGGGAGTGCTTGGCTGTGTCAGATCCAAGTGTGCTGAGGGTTGGGCAGGAACCTCCCTGAGGGCGTCTTCCCTGATGCGATGAGAACTATAATTTTTTAAGATGGCTGTATCAACTACACAGAGAAAGGGTCTGTTCATGCCTCTTCACTGGGCTGATTGCAGTCCACCTCTGAATACGAGACACTGACCAAAGGGATTTCGGCTGGCCCTGAGGTGGACAGAAGCTTTTGAGGCCGTGGAACAGCCAAGTGAAAGTCTAGTTTAATGAAAAGAAAGACTAGGGATGGCATGATAGCGGCGTTCCAACATCTGAGGGGCTGCTACAAAGAAAGGGGGGGGGGTCAACGTAGTCTCCAAAGCACCAGAAGAAGGCAGGACAAGAAGCAACGGATGGAAACTAACCCAGGAGAGAACCGACCTAGAATGGAGGAGAAATTTCCTGACGGTGAGAACAATAAACCAGTGGAACGGAAGTTGCCTTCAGAAGTTGTGGGTGCTCCATCACGGGAGGTTTTTAAGAAGAGCCTGGACAGCCATTTGTCCAGAATGATATGGAGTCTCCTGGACTAGAAGATCCCCCCAAGGTCCCTTCTAACTCTGCCCTTCTATAAACCATCGGCTTTAATGATGGCCGATGAAACCAATAATAAGAATATTCCGCACTCCCGTTTAAACTTCCCTCGGTCAGGAGGAGACGACATTCCCTCCCAATACCTGCAATGGAGTCCTGCAGCTCCTTGGTGATGAGGCCCAAGTCATCCACGTCGACAAAGTGGAGATGCTTCTCCGGCGGAGGGCTGGCAGCAGCCGAGAGCTCCAGGTAGTTTCCCCTGCCCGTGCTGACAATGAAGACGGCGACTCCCAGGTCTTTCAGAAGCTGCATCGGCTGGGCCACGTCGTCCTTGGAGAAGCCGTCGGTCACCCACACCAGCACTTTGGGGACGTCAGGACGGGCCCCCGCTTCGGCGGTGAAGAGCTTCTCCTTGGCAAAGGAAATGCTTTTGCCGGTATTGGTGTCCCCCATCACCTGCTGGATGTTGCGGATAGCACGCTGGACGGCCTGGGTGGAGAAATGCCGGTCAAAGGGGAACTCCAGGATGGGCGTGGTGCTGATGTGGACAATGCCAGTCCGGACATTGTCGGGGCCGAAGGTAAACGGGAGGAGCAGTTCAGCAAGGAACTCTTTGATCCTGGAGAATTCGTAGTAGGAGACGCTGCCGGAGCTGTCCAACAGGAAGAGCAGATCCCCCTCTAGGTCAGGAAGGGTGGGTTGAAGACCTGGAAAACACACTGGAAAAGAACCGGGAGTGTCACGTGATCAGGAGACCTTCTCCTGGAGGGAGGAGGCCTTCATAAGTTCAAGACATAAGTCGGAATCAGCTGGGGACACCTAAAACCGCTCATTTCTAAAGGGTAAACCCCCTCTGAGATAAACCAAAACCGGACGTTTTACCACCGGAGGAAGATCACTCAATAAATTGAGTGCTTCCCGGTGTCTTCCTAGCGATGTTTGCCAGGCTCTGAGATTTTAATTTCATGTTTTGTTTCGTTTCACTTTCCAGTCTGGCCTACAACCTGAGTTGTTCCTTCGGAGTCTTCCCATCCACGTACTGCGCTCTCTTGTTTTCCCTTTACCCCTTGGTCCCCTTTCCCTTCCCTGCCAATGTCTTTTTTCGGTTCTAAAACTTGCCAGTGGCAGAGTCTTCTGGTGGCAGTTAGTGCGCCCAGCTACTCTGGGGGCGCTCGGGATGCTGAAACAAGCCAGTCAATCCGTTTGCTTCCGTAAATGCAGACCCGGATCTCTGGCAGCCCCAAATGGCAAAATTCATCCCAGATGGGATGGGATCTCCCTTTTGGCCGGCTGGGGGTTGGCCCTCTTACACTCTGGGCTCCCAAAATGCTAGCCTGGGTTTTGGAGAGCAGAGAAACCCCCCTTGGTTTGGACTCCGAATGCTTCAGTTCCATGCAGGCTTTACAAATTGCCACCACAAGCAGAATGGAAACCTTCCCAGTAGCACATGATGGAAATCAGATGTTCCACTGCTCCAGCAGCCTTTTCCCTGCTGGGGGAAACGGCCTCTTTCTCCTCTCAGCTTATGTTGCCCAGGCCAAATTTTGCCAGTTATATTCACCTTTCCCCACTTACGGCACAGCCTTGGCCATCCGGTAAGAAATTTGGGATGGCTCTGCCACCCTTGAGGGCAATCCTTAAATCTCCCCAGAGAGATTGTCTTCTTCCTGTTCCACATTAAAAAAAACAGTTTCCTCCAGGGTGGATGTCTAACAAAGGGAGAGATTTGTGCTGCTATTGAAAAAAATGTGCTTTCCCCAGAAGCTGGCCGAATTGACAGGCGATGCCCTTTTATTTTGTCTGAAAGCTCCTTCACGCATGGATTTAACCCTCTTCTGTGACAGAGAAAAAGGGCCACCCCCACAAAACAAAGTATATTTTTCCCGACGGAACCAGGACAAAGAGCTCGACGGATTCCTCACAGAGATTTAGTCAGGGTCCCTAAATAAATTCTATCATCTCAGCATCCAAACTGGACCCAGGAGCATGAATATCTATTCTGAATTTGGACTGTCTGAGCCATTTGGGGCTTTTTTTGGGGGGGAAGTCAGTGCTGCCTTCGGTTGCCCATAATGCCCTGGGATGTTAAGAGCATTGTGGGAAATTTATACAGCCGGAGTCCTGCAATGATCAGTTGAAGATCTCTCTCTGCTGGGGCCCTTAGAACCCACAGACTTTGAGTGGAAGGAATATTAGCCATAAATCCCCAATTTCTGATTGAAATTGCTGGAAATGCTTGTTTGATGTCTGTCTGTTGGGTGTCAGCCGTGATGATGAACCCATGGACCACGGAGAGGGATTGGCAAGGGGAGCAGAGCCGGGGAAAGAGAAATGAAGTACTTGCGATGGGGGAAATCAGAGCAAGCCTTGCTTCCTGAGGACTAGCTCCTCTCGGCTGTAGTTGAACATTCAAATCAATGTACCATTGGCTGGTCAAAACAGAGAGAGAAGGACGCTCCTCCTGTGCCTTTATTTGGGACCGATTGGCTGCTCCCATCTGCATCTCCCACAGAAACACCGCAGTGGTTCTTTAAAAGCAACATCTCTCAAGGGTCACGTAAGCCACGGGGGGCCTCCAAATGACTGCAGTGCTCATCGTCCCTGACAACTCTCGTAGCTGGGGCTGATGGGAGGTGGAATCCAGACACGTCAAAGCCCACCACCACCCCTCCTTGCACCAGAGTCAAGTTTGACAACAAACTTCCCGGTATGTTTTCACACACTGCCGGAGGCAAGAATTGTGTTGGGTAGGGCTCAGAACATCATCAATCAGGAAGTGCCAGCCTGATGTGGTTTTTGGATCCCTTCTTGAATTGGAGGCAAGGCAGGTAGAAGAGAGAGAGAGAAAGAGAGAGAGAGAGAGACAGAGACAGAGACAAAGAGAGAGAGAGAGACAGAGAACCCTCCCTCACCCCTCCCCAATATATCTGTCAGGATTGCTTCCTAAACTTCAGCATCTTAGGAACCTTCCATCCCATGCATTTTTCACCGCAGTTCAAAAGGAGAGAAGTCCCTGGAAATTCACAGATGGACTTGTTTGCTGGGGAAAAAAAAGGGAACATTCCTAATCCCCCAACAACAAGAACCGGGTCGAGACGCCAGCAGAGTTATTCTTGATATACTTACATAGCAACAGACTCAGATGAAACGCCTCCCCCCCCCCTCAAAGAATGCACAGGGACAGGAGGAGAAGACTTGTGCTCTGTAAACAGAAGGCTGGCCTAATGTTAGCCATAAAGAAAACCTTTCAACCTCAGTGGGACTGGAGCTTAAGTCTTGTTTTGCAACTGCAAAAGGAGGAAGGATAAATAAAAAGCACACCGCCAGGGAGACAGCGGAAACATTTTACAAGTGAAAAGCAAAACAGCAACAACAACCCCCCAAAAAGGGGGGGATGCTCTGTTCCATCATCCCCGTTTACCGAATTACCCTTCATTTCGAGGCAGCTACATTGATTACTTTTCCGCTGATGCACCTCATTGGTCTTTCAGCCATAAAACTGTGGTGTTTTTTTTCTTCCACCCTGTTAGCTTCAAAGCTGCTGCAATCGTTGCGGTGGAATTACACTTCTTAATGTGGCAGGGAGGGGAAAAAATCAACCCAATGGCTGTTTTTTTTTTTTCATCGCATCATTGGGATTGTTATTTGAACGGAAGGAAATCTAACCCCTAGGCGAGCTGTTTGGAGAGGCGTGCTCCTGCTTTCCCTGCTAGCGACTCAAGGAGAGATGCGTAATCCTGCCTCTCCCTGTTGTATCTCCACAACAACGAACCCTGTGAAGGTGGGCAGAGAAATGGGGACCCGCTAAACTTGCCTAAGGCTCCTGATCCAGCTTCTGTCCACCGCACCGTCCTGTAGGATGTGCACTTGGTCTCTATCCCCGACAGATATACGGGCAGTCCTCGGCTTATGACCACAACAGAGCCCGGCATTTCTGTTGCTAAGCAAGACAGTCCTTAAGTGAGTTTGGCTCCATTGTACGACCTTTCTTGCCGCAGTTGTTCAGTGAACCCCTGCCCTTGTTAAGTTAGTAACACAATGGTTAAGTGAATCCGGCTTCCCCATTGGTTTGTTGCTTGTCGGAAGTTGGCAAAAGGGGATCCCGGGACACACCGCGACCGTGGTAAATACAGGCCAGTTGCCAAGGCTCTGAATTTTAATCCCCTGGATGCTGCAGCGGGTCGTAAGTGTGAAAAACTATCCTAAGTCCCTTTTTTTCGGTGCTGTTGCAACTTCGAACGATCACGACCCAAACGGTTGTAAGTCAAGGACCATCTGTGACTATTTTTGGGCGGGTATCAAAAGCATCCTACATCTTAAAAAAAAACCCTGATCTGCAATTTCCCCTGGGATTTACACCAAGGATGGAGACGTTTGCCCCCAGAAATAAAGAGAACCCGCTTCTTCTCCGGAGCGTCGCATCAAAGGAAAGCACTAAACTATGTTGTTTAATAATTAATAGCCCTTCTGGCCATGCGCTTAATCATGGACGACCGGAGGAAGAAATAGGCCGGCAACGGGAGCCGTCTACGGAATGCAGAATAAAACCTTCTTATATTTATGTCTGTCAATGATTCCCAGCCTCCTAGTTGCGATTCCAGCCGTGTTTTGTTTTTTTTTTACTGAGTGGGCTCAGCCTAAAAGTCTGTGCAACTTGTTGGTTTCCATTCCCTCGGTCTGATTGCCCTATTGCGTTCCTTCACAAAGGAGACAGTTTACCAGTATTCTTTAGCTTCCTCTGGGTAGGTCCTAATAAGGAATAGCTCTCGAGATTTTTTTTTTTTTCTTCCCCTTTGGCAGAGGCATTTTCTTATCCCCGAATCCTTCCTGCTGAAAATGGGAAGGGCTGAGCTCAACCGCTCACTACTTCCCAAGCAAGGGTGGGTGACTGCCTCATCTCTCCTCCCGTGTTGGCCCTGTTCACAAAGTCAACCGACCAGCTAATTCTGTCATCACGCCTGCCTGCCTGCCTGCCTGCCTGCCTGCCTGCCTTGATTCCTCAGCAAGTGAAGGATGCCCAGGCGAGGCCGGGGTCCTTCCCGTGGAGGGGCTGCTGCAGGCGTGCTCTGCCTCTTGATTTCTACCGACTTCCGACCGACGTTCTGATCAGAAGGTGGCCGCCAGTCGGTCCTCTTCACTGCACAGGCTTCTCTAGACCTTCCCTCCCCTGGCGGATCCCATGGTTTTGGGGGGAAATAGAAGAGCTAAGGCTTAACTGAAAGTTCAGATAACACTATGGAACCTCCGTGTCCAGGGGCAGTATAGCACGAAACAGTATAGCCCAGGGGACCAATTGGAAGAGCTTCACATCCTGTACATACAGTATGTTTTCCTGGGGATTTCCAGCAGGCTCTTGTTAAAACAGGATGCTAGATGGGCTGATGTCACCTGGCTAAGGACATTTTAACAATTTCCAGGAAAGCATCTTTCTTTCTTTCTTTCTTTCTTTCTTTCTTTCTTTCTTTCTTTCTTTCTTTCTTTCTTTCTTTCTTTCTCTTCCTTCCTTCCTTCCTTTCTCTTCCTTCCTTCCTTTCTTTCTCTTCCTTCCTTCTTTCCTTCCTTCCTTCTTTCCTTCCTTCCTTCTTTCCTCCCTCCCTCCCTCTCTCTCTTTCTCTCCCTCCTTCTTTCCTTCTTTCCTTCCTTCTTTCCTTTCCTTTCCTTTCCTTTCTTTTCCAGGAAAGCATCTTTCTTTCTTTCTTTCTTTCTTTCTTTCTTTCTT